GACAGCGTGCGCTGCTCAGCCCCAGTGGGACAGCCCCGCGCCCAGGCGCCGGCGCCTCGTAGGTTTGCTCGGCCCCTCCGCACCCCAGCTGCCCGCACACCACGCCAGCGCTGCGCAGATCCCATGCGTCGTCCAGGACGCGGCCCCACACTCCGTCCAGGGACACCTCCACACGGCCATCACAGCGGCTCTGTCCGTTCCTCAGCCGCAGGGCGTGGGGGAGACCTGGGGAGGGACGTGGGGCACTGCAGGGGCCACCAGGGTGTCAGCGGGAAGGCCCCTTGGCCTGGAAGGGGAGAGGACCCCACCTCCCAGGAGAGCCCGGTCCACTCCCAGCCTCCATCTGTCCCGCAACCTCGCTGACCCACCTGAGCAGACGGCGGCGGCCGCATTGCCAGGGGCGCAGGCGGGGGCCCCCAGGGTGCTCACCGGGCAGTCCCACAAGTAGGGCTCTGTCCCCACGCAGTGAAATGCGTCAGGCCAGATGGCTGAGCCCCCATCCCCAAAATGGCCTCCTGGGGGTATGGACACTGTGTTGCCACAGTTGAGCTGGTGGCAGAGGACCGTGGCATCTTCTAAGTCCCAGTGGGCGGCACAGAGGGGCGCCCAGGCCCCCTGAACCTGGAGCTCCACTCGGCCCTCGCAGCCGCTGCTGCCGTTCACCAGCCGGAACTCTGTGCGGGGGGTGGGGTGGGGCAGGGGGGGTGGGGATCAGTGTCCTTCCACTCACAGGCCAAGCAGGTGGCAATTTCTTTCCTTCACACCCAGTGTGGGGGCACCAGAGCCCTTGCTCCCACCAGCTCCCCACCCAACTCAGCCTCAGCACCCGACTCACATCTCTGCAGAGGAGTCCGGGCTCTGTGGTGCGGCTGTGGGGGTCACATCCCTCTGTGACCAGGAGTCTTGCCTCCCTCTCCTCCCTCCCCTCAACCCACAGAAGCAGCATTTCCTTCAACAGGACCATGCACACCCTCCTGGCCTCACCTGAGCACCTGAGCCCCACATCCTGGCCATGCCCGCACTGGTTCCCGGGCCCCCGAGGGCAGTGGAACAGTAGGGACTCGTGGCCCTCACAGTGGAAGGCCTCCGTCCACACGGGCCCCGAGCCCCGGCCGAAGCGGGCGTCCCCAGATGTGGACACGGCCACACCACACTGCAGCTCCCGGCACACCACGTGGGCGGTGGCTAGGTCCAGGTCAGCGTCACAGACAGTGCCCCAGGTCAGGCCACGCCTCACCTCCAGGCGCCCAGCGCAGGGGTGCTCTCCACCCACCAGCCGTGCTTCTATGTGTCCTGGAGGAAGAGACAAACTCAGCTGGGACAGGTGCTCTCAGATGACCAGCTCAGCCTGGGCCCACCATCCTTGGGCCCGGGAGGCTCCAGCACAGCCCTGGTCACTTCCCCAAGGTCAGAGGTCAGGGACACCTCCTGCAGGTGCTCACATGTGGTACACAGCCTCTGCCTGCCAGGGGCGGTGGCATCCAGGCCCCCCACAGTCTCAGTGGCAAGGTCAAAGCACCCTTCATGCCGCAGACCCCTACACCCTTGGGCACACCAAGAGAGTGGACAGTTTGCCTCATTTCACCTTCCGTAAACCCCAGAGCACAGCTCTCAGAGGGCCAGCTCACTCTCACAGACCAGAGACAGGGCAGGAGGGGTGACTCACTACCAACTCTGACTCGTGTTGGACACGCAACAGTTGCAGCTAGAACAGCACAGATGCCGCAGACAGCCAGGACCCGCAACTCGCCCGGGGGTTCTGAGCAGACACCCCTGCCGGGATGCAGAACCCCGGCTCTGTGCCGCTCTGTTCCTGCACTCACTTTCCCCAGCCGGCTCTTACTCCCTCTACAGTGGGGACAGCTGTGCGGGTGTCCAGGGGAGAGCCAGCTCCTCCCACACCTGCACCTCACGCCTCAGGCAGGACTGAGTTTGTGGGGACCCACCCTTCCTGCAGTCACTCCCCTGCTCCCTGCTGTCCCCCAGGGGGTCCCCCAGGAGCGCGAGGGGTCGGCCTCACCTGAGCAGACCACCTGGGCGTCTTGCTGGAAGTCACAGCCGCTGCGAAGGTTGTTGTTCAGTCTGCAGTTCCGGATGGTTGGCTCGGTGCCCTTGCAGGTCATGTACTTCCTGGCGCTGTCCCCACCTTGGCGGGGGGCCTGGAGCGCGGGGCCACACTCTAGCTCCTGGCAGAACACCGTGGCCTCCTCCTGGTGCAGACCACAGAGGCGATCCACCGAGTTCATGTTCCTGATCTCAGGGAGTCCCGCACAGGGGCTTCGGCCCTGCACCAGCCGGACCGCCCGGAAAGTACCGTCTGCAAAGGACACGCAACACTGCACTTGGAGCCAGCGGCCTCGGTGCCCAGACATCCCCACCAGGCACCCCATCCTGGGCCCAGACCCACCCTGCACCTCCCTCTGGGGGATAAGCACTGGGCCAGCACAAAGGGCCTGCTCAGAGGCCCTGCCTGGTTCAGTGTTCTGTGTTGCTCTCTGGGGAATCCTTCTCATTGAGTTTTCAACACAGGCACCTGCATTCTCACTCTGCTCCGGGCCCCACAACCCATGCAGGGGGTCAGCTCAGAGATGGCACATCATGAGGGCCTCACAAGCTCTCAGCACATAAAGCGTCCAGACAGCGCTGTGGACCCTCCAGACAGACCTCCAGGGAAAGCGTTTGCAGAAGCAGCAGTGATCCCGAGGACAAGGCGTCGAGGCCCCCACACATCCCAGCACTGCCCTTCTGCCTGCGTAGTCATGTGCTCTCAGTCCCTCCCAGGGACAGCGTGGCCCAGGCAGCAGGCCTTCATGCGGTTCATCCACAGCTGTGCCCCCAGGACCCAGAGCAGTGCCTGGTCAGTAAGCGCTTGTTGAACGAAAAACAAACAACTCCGAACACAGGAGGAATGAGGAGAGATGAGAGGCCAGCCGATCCTACGGGGACCAAGGACTCTGGAGGCCCCCACGAGGGAGCCCTGGACCCTCCCTCCTCCTCCCATGGCCCCTGGCCCATGACTTACTGGAGCACAGAGCGACCACCACCCACTCGTAAGGGCACTGGCTCCGCGTCCATGCCCCAAGGCTGCACCCCCAGAGGGAGGACTCGTCGCCCCTGCAGGACACGTTGTGGAGCCAGGGCTGCACCACCTCTCCAGGCAGCGGGACGTACTTGGGGGCGCCCACGGCATGGCCACAGCCCAGCTGCCTGCAGACCACGGATGCTTCCTTCAGTGTCCACTCCTGGTTGCACACGACCACGGATGCTTCCTTCAGTGTCCACTCCTGGTTGCACACATGTCCCCACTCCCCCTTATGTTGGACCAACACGACCCCATCACATGGGCTGTGTCTGTACGCCAGCCGCAGGTCACTGGGTCCACCTGCAGATGGAACAGGCCGGATGGGGGTCAGTGACAGCAGCAAGTGGGCAGAGAAGATGCCCGCGTTAGACTGGGGCCACCTCCAAGGCTTCAGCAGAGAGCCAGGTCCTCCCACCCACCACAGAGCAGTCCAGAGAGGTGATGGATGGAGCAAGGGTCCTTGCACACCCTGTGCAGCCCACATCCTCATCCCCACAGCCCCCCTCAGCCTGCTAGAGCCCCCACATCATGGGTGACCCCACCCCTAGGCATAGAAGTGCCCTGTCCTCCTCTGCCTGGAGGTGGGGGGCTCCTCCCACCATCCCACCCAAGCCTCCAGCCAAAGGTCATTTCCCAGCTTCCACCAGAGGCCCTGCAGCCCACCCCTCCACCCCCCATATCCTCACTCACTCCTGCCCGACCTACCTGGCCGCCCACCACCCATCCAGCTCACTCTCCTCGAGGCTGCCTCCTAGGGCTCTGAGTGTCTCAGCCACCCCCTGACCTTTCCATTTCACTGGGACCAGGGACCCATCCCCTAACCACACCCTCTCTAAACCTCTGCACCCTGGTCTTTCCTGCACAGCCCTGGGGAAGCCCCATCTCATCACAGCCTCTTGACCTGCTGTCCTCACTTCCCCTCCTGGGCTGGTGCTGGGGACATGTATGTGGGTGCGGCCAGGACGTCCTGGCCTGGGCCACCCCAGACCAGCTCCAGGGCCTGTCCTGGATTCATGTTGGGGAAAGATACCCCCACCCAGGGCAGAGGAAGGCACGTTGCTCCCACCTCCCACCCAGGGTCTTCATCTATCACTGCCACCCACTCAGTCCCCACCTATTCTTTTTCAGGCATCAATGTGCACTGTGTCTGTCATTTTCACACAAAACAGGACCCTTCGGCCAGAACCACATCCCACCCCTGTCCTGAGGGGCACCTGCATCCAGCTCCTGGTCACCTCCTGGCTGGACCCCAGGATCAGCTTCCAGGGCACTGCACACTGCTACCCTTGCCCACCCTCAGCCCTGACACATACTCACACGTGTACGCACACAGTTGCTCACACTTGATGTTCACACTCATACACTCATCATAGCTCCCATGTCCCCACGTGCCGTCCCCCAGGGACTCGCTCTCATCTCCAGCTTCTCCATGTTATTCTGGCAGGACTACCTCCTTACAGCTCCCTGTCCATGACTTAGCCTCTTGGCTTCTGTAACAGCAGCCCCCCACCCCTCACCCTGGTGTGGCATCTCTCTGGGACTATGGCTCTCCTCCATGGCCCAGCACCAAGCTCCATGCTCACCTGGTGGCCCAGTGTGGCCAGCTTTCCCATTCCCTTACCCACTCCCCTACCCTGTCCCAGGGGAAGGAGATGGGGCCGTCTCCCTGAAGAACCCACCAGCACCCCTGTTGATATGGGTAGCTGGCCGTGTCCCCCCAGTCTATCTGGGCTCTGACCCAGCCCTGCACTCGACTCCAAGCAGTAGGGCTGGGGGCTCTGGTCTCTCCCTGGGACTGAACCTGCTCAGTCAGTGTTGGGACAAGCATCTCCAGGGGCTGCACTTTGGAGCCCATGTGCCCTCCTCCTCTAAGACATCCCACCCTCTTTGGCTGAGTAGGGCCCAAGCAGACAGCTGGTCACAGCAGGGATCCCCTCAGCTCAGCATCTACAGAGCCTCCAGAAGTTTCCGTGGGTGAGAGAAGAAGGACCTTACCAGTGGGCACTGCCATGACACTGAGGAGAAGCGCGCTGAGTCCCACAGCCCGGAGAGCTGCCCACATGGTCCCGCGGCCCCAGGGCCCTGGCCAGCACCTGCTGCTCAGCTGGGCAAAGGCAGGGATCACTGTTCAGAGCCAAACACACAGAAGTGGAGCCACCAGTGGCCTCCTGGGACCAGTGGAACAGCGAGGGCCTTTCCAGATCAAGTCAGTGGCTCTGTCTCTCCACCTGTGAGCAGAGCAGCCAGTAGCCTCAGCCTGAGCATTGCCAGGCATGAGCGAGGGGCCCAGGCTGTGGGTTTCCTCTCAGGCTGATAACTGCTGACAGGGTAGCTTCACTCAGACCTCACAGTCAGGCAGGTGGTCTGGTCTGCCCACAGCCACAGCAGCAGCCAAGCCCTGTCCTCCAGCCAGGCAAGTGGCTTTGACTCCCACTGTGGATGGTGACACAGTGACACTGGGCATTGGGAGCCAGAATTGGGGGAACCAAGTGTGGGGTCACCAGAGCCCTTGCTCCCACCAAGCTCCCCACCCAAAGCACAGAAGAACAAGACAGGCCTGGACAGCTTTGCAAGAGCTCTGAGATCTAAATTATCATTGGAACTAAAGCCACAAAAGACCAGAACCTACACCCTGAACCTAAACAGGGTGAGCACCTGCTGAAATAGAAGATTTAAAAAGAATCAAGAGTGTCTTGACATCACAACCAGTATGTCCAGGACACAACCGAAAATCACTCACCATGTGAAGAACCAGGGAAACCACACTTTGATGGTAAAAGACAATTAGGCAATACCAATACCAAGAATTGGATGTCAAAATTGTCTGAAAAGGATTTTAAAACAGTCTTCATAAAAATGCTTCCATAATAAATTGCAAATTCTTTTTAAACAAATGGAAAAAAATCTCAGCAAAGAAATAAAAGAATACAAAAATGAACCAATGGTGAAGATGTGGAGAAATTGGAACACTCGTACTTTCCTGGGAGGATTGAAAAATAGTGCAACCACTTTGGAAAACAGCCTGGCAGCTCTTCAAAATGTTAAACATAGAGGTACCTTATGGCCCAGCAATTCTGTACATCAAAGAGAAACAAAAAATTATGTCCAAGATAAGCAACAAAGATATACTACACAGCACAGGGAATTATAGCCTTATCTTATAATAATTTCTGAGGAGTATAATCTGCAAAAATACTGAATAACTATGCTGTACACCTGAAACTAATACACTGTAAATCAACTATATTTCAATTTGTAAAAATTATGTCCACATTAAAACCTGTACATAAATGTTCATAGTAGCATTATTCATAATAGAAAAAGTAGAAACAACCTAAATGTACATAAATAGATGAATGGATAAACAAAATGTGATACATTCATACCATGAAATATCATTCAGCCATTAAAAGTCATAAAGTACTGACAAATACTTCAGTGGGATTAACCTGCAAAACAATATGCTGAGTGAAAGAAGTCAGACACAAAGACCACATATATGATTCAATTATGTGAAATGTTCAGAATAAGCAAATCCATAGAATAGAAAGTGGATTGGTGGTTGCCAGGGACTAGAAAGAGGAAATGGGAAATGACTGCTGATGGGGACACACAGACTGAAAAGTGAGAGGAAAGAAACAGATATTTCATGAAAATGGAAATGACAAGAAACAGGGGTGGAAGTACTCACATTAGACAAAGTAGACTTTAAACCAAAGGCTACCCAAAAGACAAAGAAGGGCAATATATAAAGATCAAAGGATCAGTACAAGAGAGGCCATCATACTAGTTAACATATATGCACCCAATGCAGGAGCACCTAAATACATAAAGCAAATAGCAGCAGACATAAAGGGAGAAACTGATAATGATACAATAATAGTAGAGGACTTTAACACTCCACTTACAACAATACAGATCATAAAAACAGAAAGTCAATAAGACAGCAATGGTCTTAAATGACAAACTAGACCGGTTGGATTTAGTAGATATCTGTAAGACATTACATCCAAAAATAGTGGAATACACATTCAAGTGCACATGGAACATTCTCAAGATAGATCACATGCTAGGTCACAAAATAATCTCAACAAATTTAAGAGGATAGAAGTTTTATCAAGCATTTTTCTGACCACAACAGTATAAACTAGAAGTCAACTACAGAAAGAACATGAAAAAAAAAAAAACATGGAGAGTAAACAACATGCTATTAAAAAACCAATGGGTCAATGAAGAAATCAAAGAAGAAATCAGAAAATACCTTTAGACAAGTGAAAATGGAAACACAACATTCCAAAATATATGGGATGCAGCAAAGCAGTTCCAAGAGAGGAGGTTATAGCAATACAGGCCTTCCTCAAGACACGAAAATACTCTCAGATAAGTAACCTAACTTACAGCCTAAAAGAGTTAGCAAAAGAAGAACAGATAAACCCCAAAGTTAGCAAAAGGAGGAAAATAATAAAGATGAGAGAAGAAATAAATAAAATAGATACCAAAAAATAGAAAAGATCAATGAAAACAAGAACTGGTTGTTTGAAAAGATTTTTTTTAATAGATAAACCTTTAGCCAGGCTCACCAAGAAGAAAAGAGAGAAGACTCAAGTAAACAAATAAGAAATTAAAGAAGAGAAATAACAACCAATACCACAGAGATACAAAAAATCATAAGAGAATACTACAGTTATATGGCAACAAATCGGACAACCTAGAAGAAACAGACAGATTTCTAGAAACATACAACCTGTCAAAACTGAATCAAGCAGAAACAATTTGAACAGACTGATCACCAATAGTGAAACTGAATTTGTGATTTAAAATCTCTGAGAAAATAAAAGTCCAGGACCAGATGGCTTCAAAGGGGAATTCTAGCAAACGTATAAAAAAAAACTAATACCTACACTTCTCAAACTATTCTAAAAAACTTAAGAGACTGGGACATCCCCAAATTCATTCTACAAGGCCACCATTACCCTGATACCAAAACTAGACAAAGATACTACAAAAAAAATTAAGTTACAGGCCAATATCTTTGATGAATACAGGTGCAAAAAGTCCTCAATAAAATATCAGCAAACTGAATCTAATAATATATTTTTAAAAAGATTATACACCACAGTAAAGTTGGATTTATCGCAGGGTTACAAGGATGGTTCAACATTTGCA